CACCTAACACACACACACCTAACACGCATATATACACCTACAGACGTATACCCACCTAACACACACACACACCTAGCACGCATATATACACCTACAGACATATACCCACCTAACACACACACCTAGCATGCATATATACACATACAGACATATACCCACCTAACACACATACACCTAACACGCATATATACACATACAGACATATACCCACCTAACACACACACACCTAACACACATATATACACATACAGACATATACCCACCTCACACACACACCTAGTACACATATATACACATACACGCATATATACACATACCTAACACACACACACTTACACATATATACACATGCACACGCCCACCTCTCACACACACTCCTAACACACATATATACACATACAGACATATACCCACCTAACACACACATACACCTAATACACATATATACACATACACACTACACCCACCTAACTCTCACACACACACCTAACACACACATATATATACACATACACCCACCTAACTCACACACACACCTAACACACATATATACACATACACACATACACCAACCTAACACACACACACATACCTAACATACATCTATATACACATACACACACCTAACACACATATATACACATACACCCACCCACCCAACTCACACACACACCGACAACATATATGCACATAAACACATACACCCACCTAACACACACACCCCAACACACATATACACATGCACATTCACACATACGCCTGCCTAATTCACATGCACACTACTAGCACACATATATACACATATACCTGCACATACACACCCATCTAACTTACACATACACCTAGCACACACGCGCACACACACACACACACGCTCACACACACCCTGATACACACCTATCCACTAGCCCCGTCCCGTTGCCTCCAGCACTGTGTGTGGTGGGGAAGGACTTGGCTGGTGTCTGGAGTGGGAGGCGCTGGCCTGTGGTCTGGGTGCCCAAGGCCTGGTGCTCTGCTTTCCTAACTCCTCAGGGACCAGGAAATCCTGCTTTTCTCTTTCTGGGGCTTCCTAAGTGCCGTGAATGGTGCCACCTACTTAGGAATTGGTTGGTTTCGTTCTTCTGACAATAGTTTGCTCCAGGTCAGTTTAGGACTCCAAATAAAAGATTTTCTTTATTTTTTGGCCAGGAAGGGCATTTCACTTTTTAAATCAGCTTTCTGAGGTATGATCTCCATATAACCAGCTAGGAGCGTACAGCTTAATGATCTTGACAGATGCCAGCATCGTTGGAACCACTGCCACCACCGACATCTCAAACCATTCCATCAAACCCAGGACACGCCTCGCTCCCCGAAGCATCTCTGTTCAATGGCAGAACTAGCAGAGATTCAGTGGTCACAAGGTGAGTGAGGCAACCTGGGTCTGGCTCCTGGCCATTAATTTTAAATAATTTACATTTAACTTTGAACCACCACACCTGGCCATATTGGACCATGCAGGAGGAATAAACTCACTGGCACATTCTTCTGGGGGGTTCTACTGTGTGCCTCCTCCAAGCGGAGCGTGTGGAAACAGAGAGCAGCGTCCCTGCCACGGTGGGTGGCAGTCTGCTTGTGAGGTATTTTATTTTCTTGAAACAAATAAAAAAAGACAAAAGGATGCACGGTGTGAAAACTGGTCGTCAGGCTAAAATCAAAAAACCATTAGTGGGCAACACAGCACAGAGTGGGCTCTGCCCAGGCCACATGTGTGCAGTGCCAGGGCTTGGTTTCAGACCCAGACGTCCACATGCAGCCCTGCCTATTACACAAAGGCAGACAGAGCTGTGGGTCAGTGACTGGCAAAAGGCCTTGGGGCAACCAGAACTCTCCATCAGGGCGTTGCAGCCTTTAAGAGAAGGTGGGAACCGCTGCATTTGTCCCGCCCTGGATCTCAGCCCAGGAAATCCACTGTCACAGAACCACAGTCTTAGGAGCTTTCTTACCGAGACAGTAGGAAGCTTCTAAACACATCAGTGGTGAACGCCAGGCGGGTCTCTAGAACTTTTTCATCTTGGGAAACTGAAACTCTCTACTCATTGAACACTATACACTTGATCGAGAGAGCAAACTGTACGTGTTTTTCCCAGCTTCTTCCTGAAGGCGGACATTTGTCTCGATCTGTATTTGAATTCTTTATCTATGTTACATTTTGTATGAGATGTGTATGTGAACTAAAATGAAATTAAAAAGTCAAACTACAAAAAAGGGGATATTTTTATTTAAAAAGACAACAGTCACCCCCTAATCATACCTTGTGTCCCCCTAGGCTGGCATGAGGCAATCCACCATTTGTAAGCGTAGACTTGAGGTCAAGGTCCCCGTTCCACCCCTTCTTTAACTTCTCTCTGCCTCAGTTTCCGCGTAGAAAAATAAAAGCGTTGACTTCATAGGACCATGGTGATGATTTACTCAGTAAGGTACTTAGCACAAGGTCTGATGCAAAGTAAAAATTAATGCACATCTAATGTTTACTATATTCCAGCCACAATGTTAAGCTCTTCATACAAACATCAACCCTCCAAGGTGGATGTGATTATCAGTCCTACTCTCAGGATGAGAAAACTAAGGCATATAATTAAATTGCCCGGTGCTAATAAGTAATTGGACTGCAATTAAGACTCAGGCACCCTGATTCCAGTGCTGTGTTTTTAACCACTAGAGGTAAGTACCTGTATTTGTTTCCTAGGTCTATGTAACAGAAATTATTTATTTATTTATTTATTTATTTATTTATTTATTTATTTGAGTAAGGGTCTCACTCTTTTGACCAGGCAGGAGAGCAGTGGTGTGATCCCAGCTCACGGCAGCCTCAAAATCCTGGGCTCAACCAATCCTCCTGCCTCAGCCTCCCAAGTAATTGGGATTACAGACGTGGGCCAACACACCTGGCTTTTTTTTCCCAATTATTTGTAAAAATGATATCTTGCTTTTTTGCACAGGCTGGTCTCGAACTCCTGGGTGCAAGCGATCCTCCCACCTCAGCCTCCCAAAGTGCTGGGATTACAGGCGCGAGCCACCGTGCCCAGCCAGGAATGGATTTTCTCACAGTTCTTGATGGCGGAAGTCTGAGATCAAGGTGTTGGCAGGGCTGGGTCTCTCTGAGGCCTTTCTCCCCAGCTTACAGGTGGCTGCCTCCTCTCTCTGTCTCTCCTTGTCTTCCTTCTGTCCACAGCTGTGTCCAAATTCCCCTTTCTCATAAGGACATCAGTGATGTTGGATTAGGGCCCTCCCTCCTGACCTTGTTTTAGCTTAGTCTCTGTAACTTAACCCTTGACCTCAGTAAAGATCCTATCTCCAAATGTGTTCCCATTCCGAGGTCTTGGGGATTAGGACTTTGAAGGGGTTAAAACAGGCTCTTCTGACATATTTACGATTTCAGCTGAAGACTCTTGAGAAACAGCAGGTGCCAAAAGATCGCAGTGACTTCCGTGCTGTACCTTGAGATGAAATTCCCATGCGAAAGAGTCCTCCCCACCCTTGAAGGGAAAGCAACATCCTTATCTTCAGGAGCGAAAAGTCCAAACGGAGAGCATACTGTGCATCCCTCGTTAGCATCGCTCCGTCCTCTAAGCCTCCCTGCAGACTTCAGTTGCCTCTTCACAGCTCTGCTTTTTGTCCTGTCCAGTCTCTGAGTGATTGACTCACTGCTTCTGCGGGTCTTCATTTCTACAGGAGGGCTCCCATGCTTCATAAATCCTGCATTACGATTTTCTCCTGTTAGTCTATGTTACGTCCATTTAATTCTCAGGCCCAGCCGGGACCCTAAGAGGACAGAGGTGGAGTTTTCCCACCCCTACAAATTTACCCTGTCACAATTCAATCCTAACAGTGCCTTTCTCTGGAGGAGCTCTGCCAGCATGAATTCCTTTAGGGGTGGAAGCGTCACAGTCCAATCTACCAGTGAGGTCCACGTAGGTTTGGCTGGAGGGAGCTATGAAGTCAAGCGGCAAGCGGCGTCAGGTACAGAGAAACAGAAATCCCACACCCAAGGGCCGGGAGGCGGTAGAGCAAACCACGCACAGCCGGGTGACTTAAGGGCAAGGAAGGCTTCCTGCAGGAGGTGAATTTGGCACAAGGGATATGTTTTTAGGCACTGAGTGGAGGATCTGGGTTTCACACTGGACTTTTGAAAAACACATTCCTATGGTAGAAAGGCCTGCGGGTTTGTTTTAATCACTTCTCAAAGCTACACTAGGCGTTTGCAGCTCAGGATCCCCAGTTTAGCCTAATAAAAAAAAGTAATTACATCATATTACAGATAATTTGATTGTGACTGAGACGATAATTGAGTTGAAACGCTTATTGTAACAGACACATCAGATTGGCAAGGAGGAAGCTCGGCTTAAATACAAGCAGTGTTGAGAGTGGAATTAAAGGATTGTCAATGCAGTTAATCCAATAGTAATTATTTTCTGAACATAATTTCCTGAGTAGCGAGGACACAATTATATCTACAAACAGTCATAAGAAAATAATTACTCCACATTCCACCTGAAGCAACAGTCCGTAAACACCCTGGTGCCGCTCTCCAAGAAGCCAGGCTGTTTCCATCAGAAACTCACGGTCAATGCCAGTACCGAGAAAAGGGCTCCCAAACAGGGCAGGACTCACCGGGCAGCCTTGTCTTAGGACAGGCTTTCCAAGTGCAATTGCTCTGCCCGCCTGATGCCAAGGCCTACCGTGTATATGACTACCCCGACAGGCCAACACTTAAGACTCCCCAGAGAATGAACGCGCACATCTTTCGTGCACAGATTGCAGTCTCCAGCCTCACTCCCTGGGCCACCCACCCGCCCCCGCTGAACTGACAGCCTTCCCGTATCATCCAGGGGCCGTGGCCTACTTTGTCAACCCTCCCTTGTGAAGACCCTCATCTTCCTGCTATGCCTGCCCAGCCAGACCCTAGCCCTGCATCAGCCAGACCCACTGGTTGATGTCAGGGTGACCTCACACGTGGTCCTGGAGCTGCCCAGGAACCTCACTGTCCTCCTGCGCTCTCTCTCACTCTCCTTGGCCACTTGCTCACCTGGTGAGCTTTCCCCTCTCCAAAGCAACTCCATCTCCCACTCCAGATCCTCTCCATCCCAATCCACAGAGGGCATGGGATAAAGGAGAAGCCCCAGATGGGAACCCCTTCAACTTCTGCCTCTTACCCTCAACATCACCTGCAAACAATGTCACCTGTAAAGCTCTTCCGCTCGGGTTTTGCCCTAAGGTGGTGCCTCTTCTCCTCACTCAGGCTGGCTCCTCGCAGTCTCCAACCCTTTCCCACTCTGGCTCCTTGGCAGGTCTCCTATGTGGGCTTCAGTGCCCGCCACCTCGAAAGCTTATTCCCTCAACTCTACCAGCACCTCAGAGTCAAACTTCCGGAAAATCTCCCTCCTTGCTCAGGGCAGCCTCTTTGCACCCTAGCCTCTGTCCCAGCACCTGCTAGCATCGCTCTCACAGCAGGAGCTGCCCTGCTCTTCTCACCAAGATGCTGCCAGCGCAGCTCTGCACCACACTGGAGTCCCGCTCTCCCCAGAGCCCCGGCCCTGCTGTGTGCTGCTCCTCCCTTTCTCTGCAACTCCCTCCAGGGCCTCTGAGGTTCTTTCTTGTGGCTGCTCCATAAAACTTGGCGATGGCCAGTGTTCCACTTCTACCCCAGCCTCTTTGCTTCCACCTTATGGTATTCTCCCTGGAGATCAAATCCTACCTGAGGTTTAAAATATTCTGATGCCCCCAGGTCTGTATCTCCAGGCTGAATCTGCATCCTGAGCTCAGCTTGTCTGAATGCTGCGCCCACTGTTTTCTCTCGCGCGGGCTTGATCTCTAGCTTTCTCTCTCTCCTTCTCCTCTTTCCCCTCTCTCCCTCCCTCTCTTTCCCTTTCTCTCTCCCCCTCTCTCTCCCTCTCTCCTTCTCTCTCTCTTCCCCCTCTCTCCCTCTCTCTCCTTCCTTCTCTTTCCCTCTCTTTCCCTCTCTCTCCCTCTCTCTCTCCTCTCCCCCTCTCTGTCCTTCTCTCTCCTCTCTCTCTCCTCCTCTCTTTTTCTCTCCCTCTTTCTCTCTCCTCTCTCTCTTTCCCTCTTTCTTCCTTTCTCTCTCTCTCCTCCTTTCTCTCTCTCTCCCCATCTCACCCTTTCTCTCTCTCTCCCTCTCTTTCCCTCTCTTCCCCCTCTCTCCTTTCTCCTCTCTCTCCTCCTCTCTTTTTCTCTCCCTCTTTCTCTCTCCTCTCTCTCTTTTCCTCTTTCTTCCTTTCTCTCTCTCTCCTCCTTTCTCTCTCTCCCCATCTCGCCTTTTCTCTCTCTCTCTCTCCGCTGGCTCTCTCTCTCTTCGCCTCTCGCTGCTTCGCTTCTTCTCTGGGTCGTGTCTCCTCGCGCTTGGTCTCTCTCTCTCCCCGATCTCAGCCCTCTCGTCTCTCTCCCTCTCTTTCGCCTCTTCCTTCCCGCGCTGTCTGCTCCTGCTCTCTCTGCTCTGCGGCTCCGTGCTCTTTTTTCTCGCTCTTTCTCCTCTCCCTCTCTCTTTCCTGCTTCTTCCGTTTCGTCTCTCTCTTCTGGCCTCTTCCTGCTCTGGTCGCCGGATCTCGCCGCGGTCGGGGTTCGTGCGGGTCGGTGCTCCTGGCGTCGTGCGGGCGCGTGCTCTCGTCCGTTCGTGGCGCGTCTCTCCTCTAGCCGCCGCCCTGCGGGTGCGCTCGTGTGTGGGGAGCGCCTCTCTGTTGTTCTCTCGCCTCTTCCTGCTCCCCCGCTGCTCCTCGGTTCGGTGGGTGGCGCTGGGTGCGGTCGTCTCGCGCGCTCTCGTTCGTCGTTTCCCTCTTTCTTCCTTTCTCTGCTCTTCTCTTCCCTCTTTTCTTTTCTCCGCTCTCGTTTCCCTCTTTCTTCCTGTCTCTTCTCTTTCCTCTGTCTGGGTTTCTCCTCGTGCTCTTTCGCCTCTTTTCTTCGCTGTGTCTCTCTGCTCTCTTCCTCCTTTCTTTTCTCTCTCGTTCTTTCCTCTTTCTTGCCTTTCTTTCTCTGCTCCTCCTTTCTCGTCGGTCCTCCGCCCCATCTCTCCCTTCTCTGCTCGTCGCGCGCGTCTCTTGTCGGGGCCTCTCTCTCCCTCTGTCTTTCCGGTGCTCCCTCTCGCCTCCGTTGGTCGGTCTCTCTGCGGGTGTCGGTGCTGCGTTGTGCCTCTTTCTCGTGTGCGGGTCTGCTCTTTCCTGCTTTCTCTCCTTTCTCTCTCTTGTCCTCGTTTCTTTTCTCTCTCTCTCTTTTCCTCTTTCTTCCGGTGGCGTTGCTCTCTCTGCTCCGCCTCCGTTTCTCTCTGCATCGGCCGCCCATCTCTCCCTTGTCTCTCGTCTCCCTCTCTTTCCTCTCTCGTCCTCGTGCTTGCCTCGTCCTCCTCCCTCTCTCGATCTCTCTGCGTTCGTGTTCTTCTCGCTCTCCCTCGTCTCCTCCGTCGGTCTGGTTCTTCTTTCGCCCTCCGTATCTGCCCTCTTTCTCTGCTCTCTCTCTCCTCCATCTCTTCCCGTCTTTCGTGCGTGCGTCTCCCCTCGCCTTCTCTTCTCGTCCTCTTTCCGCTTCTCCTCTTTTTTCTCTCTCCCTCTCTTCCTCTATCTCTCTCCTCCTCATTTTCCTCTGTATGCGTCGTCTCCTTCTCTCTCCTTCTTCTCGCTGCTCTCTCCCACGTTCCAGCCT